TTTTGTCTCTCCTCTATCCACTCACCCCAACCGGTCGAGGCAGAAGGCCGCCCACCAAGAGCCGGGGTCTGTCAGAGGTTTCTTTCGTTAAAGGGAGTTTTTCCTCCCCACTGTCGCCAAGTGCTGCTCAAGGGGGATTTGTTGGGTTTTCCCTATGTAATAATATTGATAACAGTAAGGTCTAGACCTTACTTTGTAAAGTGTCCTGAGATGACTTTTGTTGTGATTTGGCGCTATACAAATAAAATTTGATTTTGATTTGATTTGAAACCTGGGTATAAATATTGCTATTGGTTCAAAATAAGCTTTAAGGAAGACATGCACTCAACATGTTCATTAGTACTCAAGCATGCACACAACACTTTTTGGTGACAAACACTCAGAGCAAACACTGCTAGTGTAATCATTGCATACTTCCTATGTGAAGTCTGGTGATTCACAGCAGAGGTCTACCCACTGTGAGCCTGGGCAGAGATGTAATCAGCCATAACAACTAAAACAATTCTGTTGGTGCACAGGGCCTTAAAATTTATATCGAGACGGCAAATATAAAAAACCGAGTCTGCTCACAATGCATCTATTAAAAATGACCTGCTACTAAATTTCACCATCATTGCTTCTTAGAAATACGACCTTACATTTCATCACTTCTACTAGCCTCCAGTGTCGGCCACCGCTGCATGTGTTTTATGTCCTACTACTGGACCAAATGCCAAAAGCATTACATAAACACATAATGAAAATGTGCATGTGGTTTGAATAGCTGTGCAGTCTAGTTGTCAACTATCAAAATGCTTTACAAATAGGAGGTCCTAAAAATGCTTTATATTTTAGACAGGAGCATCAACAATTAAATTAAATGATTGATCTCATGGCTTATACTTTCAGTTGCCAGTTTATTAAGTACCCCTAATAATATGCAACAATATCTGTTATGCTAGTGTTTTGATGCCCAGGTCAAGATTGTTCAAACCTGTTTGTTCCAGCTTAAGTTATTTTTTTAAATATATTTTTTCTTTTCTTTTGAGGACTTACACAGGGTTGTCCATGCTTTTATCTGTTCCCCATTTACATTTTTGTGATGCCCTCGGCACAGGCATGACTCTGGCATTGCCTTCATTTAGGTCTTACATGACCTTAAAAGATTTTTGCTCCAAAATAATTATAAACACCTGAAAAAGAATTTATAGTCATCATGAAGATTTAATGCACAGCTATTGTGTTAGTTTTACTGTAGTTTGGTGTGTATTTAGAGTTTGATGTGATATCACAGCTGCAATTAATGTACACTGCATGGTTGTCATATGCGAGAGAGTATCATCCACAGCTCTTCTGCGGTGCATGCATTTCTCCTTTGTGTGAATTACCTCTGAGTGCTTCAGTTTGCCCTGAACATGCAGGTCAGGTAAAATGGACATTTTACCTACAGAATGAAAATGAGTGTGACTGAGGATGTCTTTTTGCTTGCTACGTGAATAACTGGCAACTTGTGTTCCCTGACCTGCGCTTAGTGTGTGCTGGGATGGGCTCCTGCCCCCTGCGACCCTGAACAGTTATAAGAGGATGTAGAAGATGGATGGATGTCTTGGCTGCTGTTAGCAGTCATGTTCTGAACAGCTAAATGGGCCATTAGTCAGTAGGGTCAGCTGTGACTTTGATCTATGGTTGTCAGCACAGTTTTGGTGTCTGTTAGGCAGAATACAGTACATTGTTTGACTCCCGAAGAGCCAGCTGTTACATACTGCGGGGTGTCAGGAGCCTAACTCAGTGGAAAACCTGAATACTTCTCTGTTACATTTAATTGAGACCATTTCTCCAACTGTAAAGTACTTCAGATATTTTAGCTCTGATACTGTTCTGCCCTGCAGCATGTGAAATATTGCATGGCACAGAGACATGCAGCTCTGCAAAACTAATGCAGTGAAAGGGCATTGATTCATTGATACCATTTTTAATGGGATGGTATTTTAGAGAGTGGTTTTGGATTCAGTTGCAGATTTCATCCTGCATCATGAGTGTACTACTGCATAGGATTCTCAACCAAAGGACTCCAGAAAAACTTTAGACTATGGCTGAAATAACCACACTTTATGACAATAGTTTTAGTTTGAAATTTATGCCTTGGTACTAATCAGAGAGACATTATCCAAATAACATTGTCAAGCAAACTTTCACTCTATTTCTCTGTGTCATATACATACTGCACTTCATAGAAGCGTTGGCCGAGTCCAGGCCTCTAAAATTCATCTCATCAAAGCTAACAGTTAGGATGTTCTATCTTGTGCATTGTGTTAAACACTTTGAACTGCCTTTGTGTATGAAAATGTGTTATATAAATAAATTACCTTGCCTTATTGTACTCTATATGACTGTTGGAAATGATTTTTATGTTACTCTGTGCTAACTACTCTAAGCTGCCATTTTGGCAAGGACTCTCTTATATAAGAGATTTCAATAAACTTTTGTAGCTTAAAAAAGCATTACTATTAAATCTGACAGATAAGCCTTAAGACCGGGTAAAATTTGAGGGTACTTGTGTTTCAGTTTTTAATTGTGCTTTAGAGATGCATATTACCAACCAAAAAAAAATTTTAAAATCCCACACAAAAAATGAGGGGTGTTTCATGTCTTGTGTTCTGGTTGATAATCCATCTTCCTATGTTGTACAAATGTCACTCAGACTACTAGGGTTCATTCTACAGAACATCTGAATCAGGAGTCCACTGTTGTTTATATTGCACTGTGCACTAGAATGGAGCATTGTAAACATTTATCAATGAGCAGTCCATCCAGAGGAGAATAATACTGTAGCTGTGTAACTTATGATTACTCCCATTATCAGTAAATCCATCAGTTCAAATCAATGATTAATCAATTAAGTATTTTGTCCATATAGGACATAAATGCTGACAAAAGCAGAGCCTAAAGTGACACCTTAAAACCATTTCTTTTCTAGAGAGAAACCAGAGCCAGGAAATATTTGGTATCTTTAACAAGAAGTGACTCAAACTACAAACTGATTGGAAAAACTGGTGTGTAACCTTCTGCTGATCAGATCATCTCATTTGTATTCTGTTTGTCGTATCATTATATAACTTAGTCTGACACTGTGTACTGCACGCTCTCTTTCCACTTCTCCTCATTGTCCTTTGACAGGCATGGAATACCTTTTGAGAAATAACCATAAATAACTCTCTAACTTTGTCACATGGCCCAGCCATATGGTCTAAATCTGCACTACAAAGACTCATCATGTGACAAAAGGGTGCTATGAGCAGTCAAAACCATTCAGCTCTGTTGTATGGCTCAGGATGATGCAGGCTGTTTTCACAGTCAGCTCAGCAGCTACAGGCCTAAGAATATGCCTGACCCACACACTTTGCTTGAAAAATGTTTTGGATTGCACCTCATGCCATAAGCTACATTATGTAAGTGCTAAGTGTGAGGTATCAAGAGGATCTGGCTACGTGCCATATGGTACTGTGTTTGTGTGTTTGATTCTGGGTTTCAAGTATTGCCAATTTGACACCGAAATGGAAAAAAAACAAGTGGTGGGTAAAGAGAAATCATAATCAGTGAAAGAAAACAGGAGAATAGCTTAAGTATATGTAATGCTCCTGTATAGTTTTATCAGTCTTCTTTGTTGATTGTTTGTTTGATTCTTGGGAGAATTTATTGAGTATTTCTAGTTCCACAGATCTAATGTCTCTGTGCAAATGTCTAGAGGCGACTTTACAGTAAATTGAGCTGTGATGTCACAATACCCCTCAGATATATAAGAATACTGAATAATACCATATGTCTGACATGGTTTTTTCATAAAATGGTTCAATTACCCACAATTTTACCTATAAATATGTAAATATTGCTTATAAAGTTTACCTGCTGGAGTCAAGTGGTCTCCAAATGTACTTCACTAAGTCCATTCTCTGCATGTGCTAGAGGCTACCTGGTTGTCTTTATAACTGGTGATGATGTCTTTAACTGAGATTTAAAGTGTGCACAGAGAAACGTTTCTCCTTTGTCAGGTAAATGTGAGAGCAGTCTACTAGTCTCAAACTCTGCACAGTCATCACTCTGCACAAACAGAATGAAGTAAACAGAATACATTTCTGAATAAAGAAAGGATCTCAGTTGTATTTGGCTATTTAATGGGAACAATGCCTATAGATTAAGGCATTTTAAATCAAAAACATAATGGCTTAGGCTGTTAAATGTAGTGAAACATTATATTCTGGCTTCATGTGTCACAATGTTCTCATGCTACACCTGCTGTGGAAGGTGAGAGAAAGATGAGATGACAGGACAGCAGAGACAAAACAAAGGAACTGAAATCAGTTAACTTTTTTGGGGTGAATGAAAAACAAAGCAGGGAGTAAATTCTAGATGAATTTGACATTGTTTTCAGAATTATATCAATTAACCACTGTTCCTAGGCTGCATTTATAAACTTATAAAAAGACTTAGAAACTTTTCAGGCACTCTGTTATTAAGCCACAGAATCCTTTGAGGCAAATCTTCCAAAAGCTTTTGGCATATATGTTGCATGCTGGCCTAATGTTCGCCAGGGCTCCAAGCATGTCCATACAAAACCTGGCGGGGCAACCACTACCACTATTATGAAGGTGGAAGTGCTGGTAGTATTGTTGGATATGTAGCATAAACGTCGTACAGGAAAACATGAACTGATTACATGATGACTGTGCGTCCATCATCCATCTACAGCACTATTACGCACGTGTAATCATGCGTCATCATTTGGTCTAGTGAACAACCAAGTGTTGAAAACAAATGTTAGCGTGAGATATTATAAAATATTCTGTGTATCTAATGATGGTACATAGTGAGTTCTGTCTGTATTTATATCTTTTGGATATTTATCCAGTTTTTGTTGTTTGTTTTTTTCAGGAGCCTTATTGGCTCATTTCTGTGATACTGAGGTTTGTTTTCATGATCACTGGACCAAAATCACTGTCACACGCTAACTGCAGGCTACATACCTTGGAAGACATCCACACCCCAACGATCCTCTGAGATCGGAGATAGAGTCCTCTCGAGGGGAAAAATATTTTGTGCACAAAGTCCAACGGACAGGAGAAGAAGCTGCTCGCAAACTCTCCTCCAAGAAGTTTCCACAACAGTCATTTTTGCTATAGCTTTCCATCCGCATCCGTGTAAAGGGATATTGTCATTTTGAGGTGGTTTGGATGACACTGGGGAAACTGTTGTCGCCAAGGCTCCAAGCATGCCCATACAAAACCTGGCGGGGCAAGTCGATTCTCCAGCCATGTTTAATTATTTCTGTGCTTAGGCTTTTCTTGGCCGGTTGTGGAAAAGCATATTTGTGTAGATGTTACAGAAACAATTCTAGCCCTGGTTTATTTGATGAGTGCTAAATGCTGTCTTATCAGTGAACCTTTTGTTAATAAGTGTTTGAACAGTAACAAAAGTATTTTTATCTGATTTGGGCTTTTTCTTTATCCAGTTTTTACTGGCAGCATATACAAGGGGTTATTGATATCCTTGGTTTGCTCTTTGTGGAAGTTACTAAAACATTCTCTAGGTAAGTGGTTAGAGGATGACTAAATTATTGCCATTTGCATGGCCTACAGTTTCTGTCTCTAAAATAAAAATCTGCCAAACCCAGCGCAAATTCTACATTAGTGCAAACAATTTTTACTTTATTGCATAACAGCAAAACAATCATTCCTACTCTTACTGTTATTGACAAATGAAACTCATAAAGTGCGAATGCATAGCCTGGCTAGAGTTTTGATAATGTCAGATTTGGAAGCCCGCACAGGTTTAAGTAATGAATTAGGCATATATTACTCGTAACTGTTCCTAATGGTTCACCAATGTGGAGAAGATTTGGGAGAGATTATTGTTCTGAGATGGAGAGAATGCTGGGTTCTGTATGTGCGTGCGTGCGTGTGTGAGTATAGGCTATGTGGGCTCTGAAGAGTGCGTAAATCTAGGGGGACCACCTACTGTTGCGCATACCTTTATAGGGCGTAATCTTGCTTGAAAAAATAGGAAATTCTATTTGTATCTTAATTACACGTCAGTCTGAATAGATTTTGAGTTGGTACTGTTTTTTCTGATTATCTCTGTGCCGTTCCCTTTACTGGGACTTTTGTCCAGTCCGCAAAGCGACTCCGTCACCCCTTCCTCCATCTCCATATACTCCGCTTTGTCACCCAGCGAGGAGCCGGAGGGTGACCCCTTGAATTTCCTTAGAAAGTCCGAAAAATAAGGGCAGCCCGGGGGCATGCTCTCCACCACCGCCGGCTGGTCTTCGTTATCGGTCTCCCTGTGGTAAAAGTAGTTGAAATTGGACACTATTACCGGCACTGGGAGCGCGATGGTTAGCACGCCAGCAATTGCGCACAGAGAGCCCACTATCTTCCCACCGACAGTGATGGGCTTCATGTCACCGTAGCCCACTGTGGTCATAGTCACCACGGCCCACCAGAAAGCGTCTGGGATGCTCGTGAACTGTGAGGTGGGCTCGTCCGCCTCGGCGAAGTACACCGCGCTGGAGAACAAGATGACACCTATGACCAAGAAGAAAATGAGGAGGGCCAGCTCCCTCATGCTGGCGCGCAGGGTATGGCCCAGGATCTGCAGCCCCTTGGAGTGCCTGGACAGTTTGAAGATGCGAAACACCCTGACAAGGCGGATTATTCTCAGGATGGCAAAGCTCATCGCCTGCTGTCCGTTGCCTTGGTGCTGCGCCAGGTCTGTGCCAAGAGTTATGAAATAAGGCAAAATGGATACAATGTCTATTGAGTTCATAATGTTTTTAAAGAAAGCAGTTTTGCTTGGGCTCGCAAAGAAACGAACTATAATCTCAAAGGAGAACCAGATGATGCAAACCGTCTCCACGATGAAAAAAGGGTCATTGAAAGGAGTATATCCGTGGTCAGGTTGAGTGGAGTTGAGTCTTGGCTGTAGATACTCTTTTTCATCCCTGAACTCCGGCAGCGTCTCCAGGCAGAAAATGACAATAGAAATGACTATAACCAGGACTGACACGACTGCTATGCCCCTGGCGGGGCTCGAACTCTCCGGATACTCAAAAAGCAACCAAATTTGGCGTTTAAACTCGTCCTCTGGCAGAGGTTTTTCCTCCTCTTTGACAAAACCCTCATCTTCCCGAAACTTGAGTATCGCCTCCTCCCCGAGTTCATAAAACTTCACCTCCTCAGAGAAGATGTCGAACGGGACGTTGCTTGGTCTTTTTAACCGCCCCCCTGACTGGTAATAGTAAAGAATGGCGTCAAAACTTGGCCGGTTCCGGTCGAAGAAGTATTCGTTCCTCAGTGGGTCGAAGTACCTGATGCGCTTGTCGGGGTCTCCCAGGAGAGTGTCCGGAAACTGACTGAGAGTCTTGAGCTGAGTTTCAAACTTCAGTCCCGACACGTTGATGACAACTCTCTCGCAGCAGCCGCACTCGTTGTAAACATTTTCGTAACCGGACTGAGGGCGTCTGTCAGTCATGGAGACGGTCTCATCCTCATCATCCATGTTACAGAGAAAACTCGCCCTCTTGCTTTCCCGGTCCCAGTAGCCCCCCTCCTCCTCCTCCTCTTCCTCCTCCTCTCCCTCCTCCTCTTCCTCGGCTCCTTCGACCTCCTCCTCCTCTATCATGATATTTTCCTCGGATCCGAGCAGCGCCAGCTCCGAGTGGCGCAGATCTCCACCGAGAGTCGCCCGGCTGCGTCTCCACCGTCCGACGCCGCGCTGCTTTTTCCGCTCTCTGAGAAGGCTCTGCTGCTGCTCGGGCTCCTGCTGGTGCTGTGGCGGCTGCGAGGAGGAGGAGGAGGGGCGCGAGGCGGTACCGCTGTTGCTGATGTTGGCGTTCGTGGAAGAGGCGGCGCGAGAGTGATGTTGGCGGTTGTTAAGGAGCTGGGCGCTGGAGGAGGCGGGGGTAGTGGAGCCCCCCACGCCGCCTCCGCCTCCCCCTCCCCCCGCCCCGGGCAGGTGACTATTGCACCCACCGTCTGCACCCACCATGGCAAACTCCATTTTAAATCTGAGAGCAGATCAGTCCGTGGGCGCTGCAATAGCCGCCCCAGGGAGGCAGGCCAGGGAATAAAAGTTGTAGCTGGGAGCGCGCAGAGAGAGAATATGAGGCATCAAATAGTTCCTCCAGTCAGCTGTAAATATGAGAATGTCAGAGTAACAAACACACCTCAGTTAGGTCCATGATGAGTGCAGTCCATGTAGCTTCTTACATGATAGGAGAAATTGCTCAGCCTATCTTCCCGGTTAGGCACAGGCCTCCAATGTTTTATGACATCATTGTTATTTAAAAAAGTAAATAAATTAAGAAACATATATAAGGGCCGGTTGCCTGTTACGCAGACGCTCTGTGTCCAACTTGCATGGTCCTTTATTTGATCAGCATTATAAATCACCAAGTCAACAGGCGACACCAAAACAATCTCCTTTCGGTTTCTCTGGTGCCCATCAGGTGGTTAATTTCTCCACGACCAGGGCTTGCGCCCAAATGCCTCTTCTGATTCTCCGTGGCCACTCGTGGTTGCCATTTTATATGATGAGGTTTTAAAAAACTCGATCCGTGTTGTTATACTGTTATAATAGGGAGCTCCGGTGAATCTGAAGGAGTTTATCCTTCTGACGCTCTCTGGAGCTAGGAGAAAAGAGAGGACAAGAGAAAACAGCAGTTGGTTTAGACAAGAAATGTGTTCACATTATTGTCCGTTGTTGTATAGTCTAGGATACTACGCACCTTTTGCAGTATAAAGCGCTAAAACCTCATTGGCACATTATTGTTGTTGTTGTTGTTGTTATTATTATTATTATTACTGTGTTAAAATGAAGGTAGCCATTCGGAAATGAATGCATGGAATACGTTTATTATTAGCACAGACATTGCACACACGAAATGTTCTGCTCATTACAATACCCTCCCTTCATTCTGACATTGGTACTTACAGTGAACAGGGGCCAGACGAAATCGCCTCAGCCTCTCAGCCCCCCTCCCCTGCGAACAAATCTGCTGGAGGAAGCGGAGGAGGTAGAGGTGGGCAAGGTGAAGATGCGGTTCTTCGTTTTTACCCAAAGCCTCTACTGGATTTGGGGAGGTGATATCACAAGTCCATCGTCGTATGGAACCAGTAACCACATCATCCACTATACATCCGTGCTCTGACGCACTCTGAGGAGGACACTTTTTGGCTGCGTCTCGACGTCTTGTCTCAGTTCAACAGGATCTATTGCTACTTCACCCCCCGTTTCTGCTGCATCGCTCCTGGCATACTGGCAGCCACAATATTAAAAAAAAGAAGCAGGTGTGTGAGCAGCGAGTTGGCATCAATGACAGCTCCACACGGTCACGGCGAAAAGATGCGAGCGTGGGTAAAAGTTTACCTTCACACGGGCGAGAGGAAATAATCCCATGGTTATGTCTGAGTATCACACATCTGTCTGTCTGCCGCTGTAGCCCTACCTATACTCTCGTATCTCTCCCATTGTGTGTGTGATGATGGAAAGCCTCGGTGAGAAAGTCGTTCACGTACCGCAGAGCATGCAGGCGGTGCTCGGTCCTCCCCCAGTGGACGCAGCCGGTCACTGCGCACCGTGCTGCAGTCTCACACTCGAGCTTCCTCTGCCCTTCATCGCCACTGCTGGGTGGCAACTGGTGTCCTTAACCCCAAAAAAGTAATGCGTTACTCTCTCATTTCTAAAGTAACGTCGATATTTGTGAATCACTTGCAGTAGAGCGTTTGTTATTATATACACATCCACCCAGTCCAGTCCTTGTCTTAGTCCTGTTTTACCTTCAGAAAACATTCTGGGAAATCTGAATACAGTGTCTTTGAGTATTAGACTATTAATCAAGTACTTGATAACTAGATTAATAAAAATGAATCATTAGTTGCAGCCCTAAATTAATTTTCACTGTATTTCTTTCACACTGCTCAAAATAAAGGCATTCCCTGTGACCAAACAGGAAAACCAAACATCATTAAATGTCCATTCTTGACATTCTTTTGATATTTGGTTTTGTAAAGTGAGCACTTAGAGAATGTGCCGCCTGTTTCAGAAGCAAATCCATTTATTTGTTCATTATCATTTTATTGTCTCAGAACAGTTCAGTCAGTAGAAATGAGAAGGAAAAACAGTGAATTTGTGTTAAGGCTGTGGATCAGCAGCTGCTCAGACAAGTGGTTAAAAAGCAACACAATACAGCTATAGTGTCTGTTATAGTGGAAATTTGCTTTTGACAGGTAAAACATGGCAATATTCCAGTGCAACATATACACAACATCAAAGCTAGAGTGAGAGTAAGTTATCACCTCACCTCACTGAGCTGCAGTGATTTAACTTGTTGCTTTGCTACAGTAATGTACAGGCGTATATTACCCAGCACCTAGTGACATTTGCTAATTGCAGCAAACCACACATATGATTATATGCCATAAACCAAAAGGACATGCAGTGTTTTTATGTTTCTTTCTTAAAGGTACAATCCCAAATCTAAATATAAACAAGAGTACCATCCCCACCATCACCGCCACATTTCAAAACACCACAGTCAAAGAAAATGTAGCACTATATCTTGCATTAAAGTTAAAAGTGATTTCTAATTTCCTAAAGGGTTGTTTGGCTCAGTAAAGTGTCTTATATTTGAAAATGAATGGCTGACAGACGCTCTGAGGTTCCATCCAGGTGTACATTTAGGAGTTATTATAAGAGGAAGTGACTCTTCTTCACTTCAAACTATTTTTGTTTTCCTTTCATCCTCATACCATAACAACAACCCTCTAAAGTGGTTAAACATATCCCTGGTAAAACTGCATCAGCAGAAACAACGTGTTTGTGCCCCTGACAAGTGTCACCCAAACTGACTAAAATGTAATGAGCATAGTGTAACTACAACAATATGAGACACGTCCTTGCCCAGTTTAAGTCATATAAAACCAGTTCACCAGTTCATCTTCTCACTCTAAGTAGCATGACATACATTTTAATAAAGTTTATTTATTTTTATTTTTTTTTTTCACATGAAAGAGGCCTGAACTGACCCTGCTTTTTGAGAGTAGGAGAAAACACCATCACCCATTTGCAGACTGTAATACACCAAGCAGCCTAACAAATTACTGTGCTCAAGATTTAATTAATCAAACAATGCATTACTCTTGATTAAGAATGCATTACTTTTTTGAGTAATGAGTAGTGAAAACCACCAACAAGTCAGTAAAATGAATAACATGGTAGTTTTTCAATTTCAGCAGCCCATTAGCTCTTATTTATATATAGACGGGTATAAACCACAGTTTTGTGGTTTATAATGATACATAACAAAAGGCAGATTGTTTTTGTCCCCTTGCATACTGTACACAATTAGCAATACGATGATGACCCAGCAGCTATGACAGTGAAACACCTGTACTGAGGCTTAAAGACAAGGTGAGGTAATACGGTATATTATATAATATTCAGCAATGTTAGCTTTGCTTGATCATCTTGAAAAGCACATGTTTGTACTGTTGGTCAAAAGTTGCACCTAGTCATATCTTTGGGGAGAACAGATGCACTGGCCTTAAAAGCCAGACGTTTCAGCATCTGGCAATGTAACCGTTGAGTCAGTTACGCACTGGCCTTAAAAACCAGACGTTTCAGTGTCTGGCAATGTAACCGTTGAGTCAGTTATTGATCAACCACCTATTGCCACTGTAGATTTATTTGGACCATTTTACGCTGTGGGACAGTTAAGGTCTTATTTGAAACCTCCCAGATTTAATTCGATTGTGCAGATAATTGGTTTTTCTGCAGGTCCCACTGCAGGCCCGGTGCCGGGACACACTGCAATCAGTAGCTACTTGTATCGCCCATTGAGCTCAGCCCATTTGATTCAGACTATCCATTTGACTCAGAAACTCTAATTAGGACAAGAATAGCCTGTTAGTCCAGTCCAGAAAACAGATAAGATATTCCTCTAAGGAATCCTAATCATTCCCTAAGGTGATTTTTAGTTGTAATAATCCTGTAGGGATATTTTTGGTTGCTTGAGCAGTGTTCTTCCAAAATGTATTATACAATCACTGTGCTTCTTTGTCACAAGAGTAAATCTAAAACATCAAAACAATCTGTAAAATCCAGTGCTGCGCTGAATGCCTGTGAAATAATCAGCACTGCTGACAGTGCAAATATTGCTCTGTGAATCTTTAGAGATTGTCTTCACAGCCTCTCTCCATCTGTATTTCAGATACTTTCTATACCAAAGACATTAGAGGAACAAGTGTTCTAGTCTGCACAACACGTAGGCAGTCTTCCACCCACCACGCGCACACATCACGCATACTCACCCTTAGCACTTCATTGTGCATCCACCTCAGTCAGCACAAGGGGGAGTTGTGAGGTCAGTAATAAAGTGAGGATAAGGTGTCCTATTACACACAAGTGTTGATGCACTTTGAACTGATGCCAGAGCTGCAACAGCTGCATCTGTTGACAGCCTCCTTCTGCTCGTACTGAAGCATACAACCCCAAACCAGAAAAAGTTGGGACCATTTGTATAATCAAAATAAAACTGAAAATAGTGATTTGTAAATCATCTGTGTCCTGTATTACATTGAAAACAATACAGCAGCACATTATTTGATGTGATACCTCATCAACTTTATTCTTTGTTCACAATGAACACACTTCAATTCTGATGCCTGCAACTACGCACTGTAGTGCCTGACACAGGTGTGCCAAAGTAATCCTGAGCCCATGTGGCAATATCACTTATAGAAGAGTGATGATTCTTGATGCAGTGCCGTCTGAGGGATCAGAGAGTACGGTCATCCAGCTTAGGCTTGGCCCTTTACACACTGAAATCCCTCCAGATTCCTTGAATCTTTTAATTATGTTATGCACTGTAGAGGGTGACATATCCAAATCCCTCCCTATCTTTCTTTGAGGAACATTGTTTTTAAACATTTTCTCATTGCCAACATATGTTGGCAAACTGGCGGTCCTCGGCCCATCTTTGCTCCTAAAAGGCTCAGTCTTTCCTGGATGCCACTTTTGTACCAAATCATGATGCTATCACCTGCTGACATCACGTGTTTCACATGGAATCATCATTTCATTGTTTTACCTCATTACTGGCCCTGAAATGCAACTGTCCCAACTTTACATTACATTAGTCACTACTGTAACGCACCTGAATTGAGTTGCATTGTGGGTAACACTGACAGTGTTATCAGAGTGCAGTGCTAATTTGCTGGAGTACTTTTTATGTTATTCTTTACAGCAATTACTTCATATGTGTAAAACTGAAAATCAAATAACATATTCTGTTCATTTGTAATAGCAGTTTCCTTAGAATAATTAAATTGGAAAACAGACTGATGAAAAAAAAAACATAAATCTGTGTGATCAGATCGTCCTGATGCACCACTGAAAGCCTGCAAATATTAATGGGCTGAGTTAGATTTTTTTATTAAAATCTAAATGTCTTACATACTGTATCTTAAAATCTGAATAATTCTTAGGTTAAAAAAACTAAAGGGATTAAGTGTCCTACAGAAATACATATCTGACAGCGTAAGGAAGCAGCAGCATTTACACCCTAATGTAAGGAGATGTGACATCTAAATGAATAAATAAAATGTTGGATTTTTGATTGTTTTAGGTAAAACATTTACCTGATTTTATGCTAATGTGGACAAATGGTCTCAGTGCATTTTAAATGCTACGTGCAGCCCTAGACCATGAAGATGAGACCACAGTTATGCACAGCTATGCTAATAGAAGAATAAAACATTGACTGAGATTGTATAATGGAATGAGAACAGAGTAAGTAGAGAACAGAAGACTGAAGATTCATCAGCAGTTCATACACATAAACACACCTACCACCTACTGCCACACAGAAACATCCAGCACAGTCATCAAACAAAAGTCTTGTCCTTGGCAGTGCTGTGGAGGTGTTTGTTTGGCTCTGATGGAAGAATGGTGAGAATAGAGAGAGGGGTGATGCAGTGCTGTGGTGAGTGTTTTTTTTTAATATGGCAGTGATTTAAAGGTATCTCTTTCTCTGACTGTATTTGTCAGGGACTCATGCAGCATAGAGGGAAGTAAAGTTTGTGGATGTTGTCTGTCCTGTTAGATCAGACTTTACAGTGTGATGATAAAAAGCAAAAGGAGTCTGTTCCAGAGCTTAAGACCAACGACCCATGACTCAAACCTGTAATGTCAGCAAGATGAAGATAAAGAATAGAGCTGTTTTCTGTGCGACTTCATAAAAAGCTTGTTTTTTTTTATAGTAACGCCTGGAGTTATGAACCAGCAAATCATTCAGGGCCCTGAAACCATCCCCTCATTCATCATTTCCAAACTGATTCCCAGTGGACATTAATGCGACATTACTGGGCAGGCCTTTTCTTATGTCTCTTAGAAAGAGAAGATGCTTATTTGAATGCTTTATTGTTCTCTTTTAGCATGAATTGGCTCTTTTAGGACCACATAATCCTGAAAGTCTTACCTGCCCCTACCAGATTCCAGTAAATGAGATGTTTATGTAATTAGCATATCAAGTGTTCTGTGCTTAATACAGTAAATCAGTTTTCAGTATAGATGCATTCATTTTGAGAGGAATTACCAGTTTCTACACAAACTACTCAGAAAATGACTAGTGATGTGGTTTACTCTGAATTTAAGGCCAATCAACTATGACCTCTGTTCATTAAGAACAACATGCTTCAGATGAGACAGCAGCACCTTAGAGGACACGACTGATACTCTGTAAAAGTCCTCATGGTCTTGTTAGGCAGGTATAGCAGTCCAGCAGGATGCTGGGGAATATGAGTCCCTGATGGCTGCAAGGGCAGTCGGAGCAGCGGTCTGATGAACTGTGGCTGCTGCCTAAGTAGTTATGCTAAATTCTACTGTCACTGCAGACTGTTGAGCTTGTGTTGCAATGCAAACTTTTTTACTGAATGCAGCAGACTACAGATGAGTGAGCATGCTCAGAGGCTGCTTCAGCGGTATGAAGTAACTTTACTCCAGTATTGTGCCTAAGTACTCTTTAGAGGTACCTGTACATTACTTGTGTGGTTCCATTATATGTTATTTGATACGTCTGCAGCACTATTTGGCCTTTTTGCTTTGCACATTTACCTGACAATTACATTACTTTTGTTACTTTGCAGATTCATATTTTGCTGACATAAATTTAATCATCTTAAAAATGGTATAGATTAAACTGACCTACAAGCTACAACATTAAAACTCATTAGTGATAATGATATAATAGACTATAATAGACAATATAATACAATACACTCTGGAAGTGGCCATTGTGCAGAAGAAGAGCTCAAACCTTTGATATTTTAAGAACATTAATTTATACCTACCTCTATTTTAGTGCAGGACTTTTGCTTGTAGCAAAGTATTTGTTCACTGTGGATTTGCTGCTTTTGTGTAAATCATGACAATATGCCTTCATCATTCATGAAAAATGTTTGGGAGAAACTGTTGTACATTTATAATTCATACAGAGAGATTATTCATACAGATTTAGTGCCGATGACGCATATCATAGTGATGTCTCAATGGGCAGAAAGCAACACAGATTCCAGTAGGTTGGTCTCAAGCAAAGCCTAAGGTCAGAATCAAAATCATTTGAAAGATGTCATAAATAGATTAAAGCACGTGGCCTTAAGGTGCCACAAGAAACCACAGACTTTCAAATGTTATATTTTCTTAGTTTGTCCTCTGCATCCTTGAAAACCTTAATTTATCCACCAACAGTCTTTATGGAAGTGACAGAAATATAAAAAGGTTATGTTTTCACCCGAGGGAAAGATGTGATATATTTCAGAGATCACTTAAAATGAAGAAAAAAATGACAGACGCAAAGAAATGACAATAGAACATGGCAAATTAATTACTGATGCTCTTGTCAGTGTTTTCCATCTAACTGTGGGGGCAGATTTATTTTTAGTTTTTATGGTCCATATAAGCCTTTAACTCTGATTTCTGAAGATATAGACTCATTCCTCCTCATGTGTAGGAGGAAAGGCCTTGAGCCACAGGCCATCCCCGAACTGTTGAGGGATAAAAGATGATTTGCTTTGCTTTTAAGTCTAACCAGGTAGGAAAAATAGCACAGAGCCAAGGTTGACTAGATTAAAAGGATTATGAACAACGCTATTTAAATAACAGAAAGGACAGTCACAGGTTGAAAGCTTGTACAGATGTTGAGGGAGTAACAGGAGAAAAGACTTTCAACTGAGGTTCAAAGCAACAACTGAGTTCTACAGGTATGTTTTCTTTAAAGAGTTTTGTAAATTGCATGTTAACTGTATTCTGTTAATTAGAGCTGTGCATCAAATTTGAACATTTAACAGACTTTACTTTTTTATGGAAAGATCATATACATATTTTTAAAGAAGTGGTAAAAACGTCAATGGTTACTGATAGCCTCCTTATTTCTCTTTTCTTCTTGATCGGCTTTGGTCTTCTCGTGTTGTTAAGTGATATTTTCTAACTCTAACTCTAACTCTCATAAGAAGTTAAAGGTCACTTCACTCCAATTACTAAAATACATTATTTCTCACTTACCTCCTATAATATTCAAGTAGGTCACTGTGGGGGATTTTTCTCTGGATTTGGAACAATTCATTTTCCGCCAACAATTATTGTGTTCACACCATTAAAATGCTTTTTAAAAAAGCTTTTTTAAACAGAAACTTAACCCACAGAATACAGTCTCGTTTGGGTGATAAAGTGATCTTAACAGTGAGATAGGGTGGAAAACCCCACAAAATGCTTTTGATTTCCATTCTGAAAAAAACATTTGGCACAGTTTTCAAATAAAGGTAATCATTTCATTACATATTATATTGTATCATACAAGTAGTTTTACAAACTGCCCCTGACTGATTTAATCTAAAACATAAACATTATAATGATGTAAAAAGTCACACTGTTCCACCCTCAAATCCACATTAACATGGTGGTTCTTTTAATATTGTTTAAAGTGTCCTGATCCCCTCTAGTGGCAGGCATCTGTGCTGCACCTGACAGAGGATGCAGTTGGTTGTCATGGCAGTAGTGCTGGCACTGGCGGGGGCAGGGCAGGGCTGCAGCTTCAGCTGTCATCCAACCAACATCAGCATCCCAGTGGAAAGCTGTGGCTCCATCGAGTACGTCTCTACCACCATATGTGAAGGAAAGTGTTACAATGAGGTAATAGCACAGTGCATGTCGGCTTATTTATTCAGCATTTTTTTATATGAATATGTTACACAGCACCAAAATGATCAAGCCCCAGTGCTTAAAGTCACAGTGTGAAAGTTGTTACATTATTGATTGTTCTCTGTATCAGCTAAGTATGAGGAAGTTTTCTTTTCAGTTGATTTAATCTCAGTTTACCTTAATACAACTTTATCACATACTTATCCACATAAGACAGGGGAAGTAAGTCATTTTTTGACCATATAAACATTACTGATGTAAACAAACATTTAACAGCAACACAAATTGTAAATGACCTGTTCGACTTAGTTGTGGTCAAGTATTAGTTAATTTATTGAAAGTCATCATGTAAGTAAAAATAATAGCCAGTTATAATTCTGTATTATAAATGTTAGTGACTAGCCAGATCCTTTATTCATTAACTGATGTCCAAGTCATCATCTTCTCTTGATGTTGATGACAGGATCCCATCTTCATCTTTCACGATGACTGGGCTGAACAGAAGATCTGTAACGGTGACTGGTCCTATGAAGTGAAACACATTAATGGATGTCCAGTTCCTGTCACCTACCCTGTAGCCACAAACTGCGAGTGTACTGCATGTAATGCAGCAAACACCTACTGTGAGCCCCTCCCTTGAGACTTACCCAGCTGTGTGACCCATTAAAAAACACTCGGCACCCATCCCACATTTACTGTTTAGCTTTGCACAATGGTACTAAAATAAAAAAAAAAGCATCACTTATGTTGTGGAGTTTTCATTTTTACTTCACTGTCTTTTTCATAAATTGAAGAAATTATGTCCATAAGAACACACCTGTTTTTAATCAGACAGTATTATTAGGAGCACAAATCTACTCTCCTCTGTAGTTGTTACCACCTCTGGCAATTTGTCAAAGCAGAGTAAATATCACAAGTCATCGCAGAAGAAACAATCTGTAGACATAACAGTGATAAAGCAGAGGGGCCTTAAAGTCTTTAAGGCCAGCAAAGAGATTAAATATCCCTTCAACACTTTCCCTTTGTTTCCTGACCTAAAATGTAATAATCCTTTGATTCAACACAAGAGATTATCCTATATGAAAAAGCATGCCTGGCCTCTTTTTTGACAGGTGGAAATCAAAATATATAGTTTGCAGTATATCTAAGAGTTAGATTAAAGTATCCTACTATTTGATCAGTGACACTTCAGTAGAGTATACTAAATTGGTCAATGCATAGCTTAGTAGGCAAAAAGAATGAAAAGTATCATGACAGGAATACGTGTAGATCCTGAAATACAACACGAGTAATGAATATTGTATCAACAAATGCATGGTGGTGGTCATACTTATTTCTGCACTTGAGTCATTACTGTGTGCCAATTTTTACTTTTACTGCAAATGTAATAATTAACATGAATAATTGAACATGTTGTTGCTGAGTGTTAGATAGATAGTCTATACCACTCACAGCTGTTCATAAATACAAAGCTACATACTGTATAGAAGATGGTTAGCTTAGCTTAGCTTAGCATGAAGGCTGGAAGCAGGGAAAACAGTTGTGTTCTCTATAACCTCCAATTAAACCTGATTTTGATGTTCTGAAGTTTTGGTTTTTGAATGGATTAAAGGAACAAAATGTATATAACATGTTAGTTAGTTAGGTGTTTGTAGGTGGAATTTGTTACCCTATAGAACAGAGTCAGACTAGCTGCTTCCCATCTTTCTTGTCTGCATGCTAAGCTAACATCTCCTGATTTTAACAGCATACTTAACGTACTGAGATGAGAATGGTATCAAAATTCTCTTTTGGAAAGTGAATAAGCATTTTTCCCAAAATGTCTAACTATTCTTTTAGTGACAATATTTTCCAAATATTGGATATGAATCCCTTGCATATTATTTTGTAATTCAGATAACTACTCATAATGCTGCCTGAAACAACAAAAACTGCAAACAGCCAGTACAGCATTCCTTATCTGAGCACTCAGTAAAAACATGAAATACTCTCTGACTCTCCTACTGCAGGGCTACACTGATTTAATCTTAAATGCAGGAGTTTTTGCCTAAACTAGAACTCAAAACTTCTGCAAAAGAGCATAACTATAATGAACATCTTTGCAGATAAATGAGCAAAGAACTCAACAAATCAGCTCTCTACCCTGAAGCCCACTGCAGATGGTCAGTTTCCATGATACAGTATGGTACATGCTTGTTTTTAGCCAAAAGCACACAGAGCTTCTTAGTCTACAGATTGGACAAAGACAAACCTGAAGCCCCTGCTAATGACAGAGAACTCACTTGTTAACATGTCAAGCTGTTAATTGCTTGTGACTTGGCAGTATACCAGCTTTAATGAGGTCTCCTTGACAGCTAATTCAGGTGAACAGTAGGCTATGATGTGTAGTAGAAGGAATGTCACTGAGAAACCCATTGTGTTATGCTTTATTTTAGTATTTAATGTTTGCTCTAAGGAACATTGACTACCACAGTAGGAGGGGTAAAATAATATATTTATATTGCTTGTAAAATGGGTTATTAAAGCTAAAATGGGGTGAAAAGATGAAATAGCGACACCACACATATGGGTTTGTGACAGTTTAGTAACTTTTTAAGAACTGTAAAATAAGTTTCCCATTTGACATTTCACAAATGAATGGCACTCCAGAAATTTAGCACACCTCCAAAAAGTTGGGGTCTCACAAAAGACAGATTAGCTATAGAGTAGCCAAAATCAACAGTGCAGAGATATTCTCATTTTTAGCTCCTCATAATGGGTCAAGACAGCCCATTCACTGTCAATGGAAACTGAGTGTTGTCACTTAGTACATTCCACTGTGTGAGACAGGGACTGAAGGAGCCCAGCAAGACAACAGTACAGAGCTGGGGAAAGTTCTACTTTATGCAGCACCAGCTGGGTGAGAGCCTGATGGCAAAAGATTTTGAGCCAGGCTCAAAGCTGTTATCATTTTCATCGGTAGGACTGGTATTATGCCATTTTATTAAGTTTTAACACTTTCCTGGTCAACAAAGTAACCACTTAGATTGAGAATATGTGGTCAGTCTATCCAAGCAATGCCAATTTAGAATTTGTTCTGATGTTGGTGTTGCAGCCACAGATTATAGCTGCCTTTCCACTGTTGGAACCTAACGAGCAGCACACCCTGTGCTTCCCTGAACCATCACCCAGCATAAACTCACAGGTTGACACGGACCCACTTTGCTTTTCCACTGTATTTTTGGCTGCATTGGTCTCTGTTTAGAAGAGGGGGGGATTGTGGTCCTCTCACAAACATACAGCTGAGCAGAGAACATGAAGGATCACTTCATCACTCAGATATTAACGGAGACTGTATGAGCAATTAATCAGTAACATTTGAAATGCCAGCAATGGGTTTTCATGGTCAAGCAATCCCATTTTGAGGGTCAAACTATCATGGGAATATTGCTTTTAAGGCATTATGGGGAAACTGAGTTTCCCCTTGGTGGAAGTTTGCACTCTCTGAGTGCTGTCTAGTTAGCTAGTATTTGCTTGCTGACACACCAATCTAAGATAATGAACATGGTAAACACACCTTGTAATCATTAGCATGTTAGCACATGCACATTTTCGTATGGTAAAGTTAGCATGGTGCCTCACAGAGGTGCTAGCATAGGGCTGTAAACTCTACTGTTTTTAAGTCTTGTTTGATAAATGGCTGGACTGATTCATCAGTTATTTACAGTGTTTAGTCACTTAATTGTAGTTGCAGGTAGTCACTGTTTCAGCACAACTAAATTTATTAAAACAAGCTTGCAGTTAATAGGATTCATGACATTATATACTGCACACTCATAGGAGCGATATGGCAGTTCCTTTACTGGATTGACTCAACGTCCAGGGGGGAACTTTGACCTTTGACCTTTTTGTACTCATGTTCACAGATTTTGCCTTATGTCAACCTTTAAGTCTACTTATGCAGCACCATACACTGACAGTCTCCTGTCACATCTCCAATTCACTGTGAACGCTGCAGGCTGGATATCTGCTGACAGATTTCAGTCCGTTCAGGTCATTGGTGTCCTTCAGTAGCAGCTTGTTTTTATCCAGCAGCTGCCTGGAGGTTTGTGCTCTCTCCCCACTAATGAGTGCCACAGCCAATATTTGGATGGACATTTTATCAAGTTTGTAGACGAGCCTGTTGCTCTGCTTCCACTACTGGAGGGAGGATTCAGTTCCAGATAAACAGTTTTAGTCATAAATATATCTTTAAAGCAAAGCATACATTTGTGAACAGAAAATTCTGCTATTGCTCCTAGCATAACAATAACTAATGTGCTTTATATTCCTACCAGCAGTGAATACAGGAGAATAGGTGTCATTTAAAGCCTGATATCTGATTTTGGAGTATCTTTTCCCACCAGTGAATTATGTCAGCTCAAACTTAAATTTGAGTTTGGAATGGCATCTGCTTTGATGAACTACTTGTTTGCATCAACTCGCTCGGTGGTCTCACTAACTAGGTTATAGGGAGGTGACAGTGGTGCGGCAGGTAAAGCAGTCATCTCCCATCCGGAAGGTTGAAGGTTCAAATCTTGGTGCCTGCAGTCAAAGTGTCCTTGGGCAAAACACTGAACCCCCAAGTTGCTCTGATGGCAGCGTGTATGCACACAGCGGCCCGGGGCCCCTCGACTCCAAACAAAATTTCATTGTACGTGTCACAATAAAAAAAAAGCTTATAAATATTAATAAGCTGTAGTCTTTTAAAATGAGCAATAAAATGCATCATGAAGCCAATGGGAATGAAAACAAGGCAAATAGAACAGCACAGCTACATTTATTAAAACAACAGTTTTTATGACGTTATGATAAACTGACTGTATATCACATTTCCCATACAAGACAATGAAGACATACTATTTAAAAACACAATTAATATTGTAATAACTCAGAGCTCCCTGGAAATAAGCAGAGGATATGGAGGCACAGCAATCGTGGGACTGCAAGACACTTAACCTACAGCTTAGCTCAAGGACAGCAGGATGTGTATAAATGAGGCATTACTGTCTGAGCAGTTCTCTTTCTTTAGCCAGTGTGATGAACTGCTGTCGCTGCCACTTGCCTGCTTGTCAGAATGTAGGTGGAAGTGAGAAGATGGGTCCTTTAGTGTGTCCAGTCTGTGATAATCAGCCAAAAATGACCTCATGGACATAAAAATTTATTACATTTTAAAGGGGCTTTTATTAAGTGAGTGTTGGACAGCACCAATGCTTGAAAGTTAACTTCCACCCAACAGACTATGTTACTGATGCTAAAAGAGTATGAAATTAACTTTGCAGTGAGTTCCTCTGTAGCTCAGCACGTAACACATGGCCAAGGTTCGTTCACCAGATTTAGTTTACTTCCACCTTTCCACAGAATGAAATGATAGTGAAGTTGAGTTTCTTTTGCAGTTTTAACCCAAAGATATCCAATTTACTGTCCCAGTTGGAGCCATTCCCAGCCAACACTGGGCGAGAGATGAGGCACACCCTGCACAGGTCGCCAGTTTGTCACAGGGACGACACTGACAGACAGCCACCCACACTTTGGAGAAACTTAGAGTCACCAATCAATCAAACCCACATGCCTTTGGACTGTGTGAGTAAGCCAAAGTACTCAGACAAAACTGAAGTCTGCATAGAAACTCCACACAAAAGTCCTCAGTCGACCACAAGGTTTGAATCCAGAACCTTCCTGCACCAAAGACAACAGCGCTAACCACTGCCCCTCACATGTAGATGTCTCCAAGTCATAAATCTCACATGATTAAAAGAAATGTATTGAAGATTATAGTCACCTCTTAGCATATTGATATCAGTTGTTTATTTCAGAAGTAATACGATTTCTTGTGTATTTTGCTGTTCTGTTCTGTTCAGTAGAAAATAATTGAAATTTACCTAAAACCATGTTAAACTATGCAATATTCATCTACTCATTGAGACAAAGTAGAATTTGGGAAGTGGACATGCAACCACCAGGTATACAGCACATCAGTTGTGTAGGCAGTAAACATTTACAAAGGGATTTCTTAACATAATGGCATACATAAAAAGTATTCACCCCCTTGGATATTTTACCATTTTATTGATTTTATAAATCAATCATGGCCAATTTGGCTTTTCTGACAAAGAAAATTACAAAAAAAAAAAAAAACTCTTTGTCAAAGTGAAAACAGGTTTCTATAAAGTAATGTCAATTAAACAAAAATATGTCATGGGAAATAATTAACTGCAAAAATATTCACCCCCTTCAAGTCAGTATTTAGTCGATGCACCTTTGGCTGCAATCACAGCGCTGATTCTGTGTGGATAGGTCTCAGTCAGCCATGCACATCTGGACACTGCAATTTTACTCCAATTTTCTTTGCAACATTGCTCAAGCTCTGCCAGGTTGCATGGGGATTGGGCATGAACAACCCTTTTCAAGTCCTGCCACAACTTCTCTATTGGATTGAGGTCTGGGCTTTGACTCAGCTATTCCAGAACTTATCTGTTAATTCTAGGATATTTCCAAGAAAGACCTGCACTGTTTGATATTAATTATAAGGCAAATGGTGAAAGTGTACATCAAGTAACCCATTCAATAAAATAAAAAAGAAGTGGTGTAGTACTTTAATAGATGTTTTTCTTCTAAGAAATTCACAACTACCGATGTGCATTGTTTTGTTTGTTTTACTATATGTCACTTACCTACTGCATAGTTTACAAATTTGTTGTTTATATTTCCCAAAAACTATTAAGAAAAGAAGAACAATATTTTAAGACCAACAAAATGCACAGTAGAATACCTACCTTGTTCTACATATTTCTATTTACAGGCAATATGCAAAAACATAAATATCAGTTACCAGCGTGGAATATTATTTACAAAAAAAATATCACAGTTTTGAGTGGTCCATCAGCATGACCCCACAGCTAAGTTCAGGAAGAAAGCTTGATCCCCACAAGCCTCCTAATAACACCACTGAGTATTTAAAGCCTAAGAGTCACTGCTAACTAAACAGCAAACTTGTTCCGGATGATCTCTCCGCCCTCCACCTCGACCTGCTCATAAAGCCACTTCCTGTCGCAGCGGCACTCGACTCCACACTTGCGTGAGCTGCACTCAGGGCAGGGGTAGAAGCAGCCCATACAGTCCACATCCAGACAGTCACACATGTCCTTGCCGTTGGAGAGCAGTCGACCTTTGCTGTCATACACTCTGCTTTTAGCTCCAACAGCCTGCCTGCATGATCAAAAGGAAAGAACCGATATCAGTGCGCTCTGTTCATTTTGATGCCAACAATTTAATTTGGTTTTCTTGAGGCTTTTTCCCCTCAGTGGTTCTTCAATTACTTTTATTTATGTCTGACACTGTGACAATAAATTAGATCCAAGTTGAACATAAATCATCGCTCCATCAGCGCTGTCACCGTTCCCCACGGTCTGGCCATGACAATTAACATTGTGAAGTCTTCAGTCAGTAAGGAGAGGGACAATCCTGGGGACAGTTCTTTGGCTTCATTATAAAACAACAGATCTAGTTTCACATTTGAATAATCTAATTAAATGACCCATGGGGGCTTGTCTAGCCATTTCCAGGTTCCACACCCAGTCCACACTATAACTGGCCAGCTATGTGTAAGTGAGACAGGAGACAGGGCTTGACTATCACTCTCTAGCTTTTATATACTGCTCAAAAAAATAAAGGGAACACAAAAATAAGACATTCAACTATGTTGTGTTCCCTTTATTTTTTTGAGCAGTGTAGTATAACATTATGAATGCCTTCCAGGAAAGACTGTCTGAAAATGTGCAGGCTTTTCAGATCACCTTTGAGCATGGCTGTTCACAACAACTAAATACACTTTTGATTTCTGATGTTGTCCAACAAAAAATCTTAAAAAATACTTCTCAATAAGCATAAACTATTTTATTGGTTGCTGTGATCCTGAACAAACAAGTAGGAAAATATTTTAGAACATCTAATTTTCTTCCCCCAGAATCCTATGACAGGAAAAATGTTGCCCGGTCGCCAGCACAGTGAAAAACACTTAGTAAAACTTGGTGAAAAATGCTCAGTGTTTCAAAGGACACATTCACATCATTAAATTATTATTATATACTTCTATCATCAAGTCAAAGAAACACCCATATAGTCCCTCACCTGTCAGACAGCTTTCCACCTCGGCCTCCACGTCCACCCTGTGGCAACACAGTTGAGAACATTTTAGACTAAAGTAAAATAACAGCTTTGTTTCAAATAAACCAGTTTAACCAGTGGATGTTGATGTCATATTGTAGCTCTGACTGTGCTAGTGATGAACCTGTCAAAATAATAAAAATAACCTATCATTATTAAAATTAAATAATTAGGCTCCATTTGATATGACTTTAAAACTTTCAATAATCACAGCAATCTGATAATTTCTATATTTCTATTAGCATTTCTACTGAAAATACAACTGAAGTTCATGTTTAAAGCTTTACCTTCTTAATCTGTAAAATCAGGTTGTGCTTCTTACTGTTCTCACTGTGCTAGAGTCCAGCTTGCTGCTGCATCTCCAAAGTCAACTATCCAGAGTTAAGCCCCTCTCAGACATGGGACCCAGGAATGTGCAGGCTTCATGTAGCCACGTAGCAGTTGCTTTTTTGGTGTTCAGACATACATGTGTGAAATTCCCAGCAAGGCTTTGTTCAAACATAGCCATAGCCATTCTGTGACAGCTCACATTGTTAAACTGAATCTTCTCTGTACCCATTCAAAATAAACTTTGTACTTTGTACTATCTTTATGCCCAAATTACACTGCCTGCCTGAAACACATGCCCTCTAGACAAAGAGAGACAGAGAGAGCAGTGATGGTCAAGCTATTTTCAGAGTGAACAAAGAGAGGGAGCAGTGTTAAGGAGAACAAAGCAGACAAGACAAAACAGAGAAAACACTGAACGGTGTGCTGTAGAACTCATCATCTTGACTGTGCCCTTACCAGCAATATGACCGCTTCAGTTTAGGCATGTAGCCGGTTAGAACATAGCTGGCTTTTGACAAGGTCCAAACAGGCAAAACCGTCAGTAATACCTTGCTGGCTATGTGACCATTTCATCCTCAGTTTGTGTTTTTGTAACAATCATGACACTAGTTAAGAATCAAAGGCATTTTTGTATGCCTTTTTTGTATGTTTTAGACCATTTCCTACTTAAAACTTGAGGTATCTTTCAAAAACAGTTGTCTGTGATGTAGTTGCAATTTAAAGTAAATGAGCCATCACTATCATACACTGGTATGACACTTTCTAACAATAAACCAAGCATTATCTACCCACAGCACAGACAACAGTAACAGAGCACTCACCCTCATTCCTCCTCTTTTGTCTTTGCGTAGATTGGCAGCCTCTCTCACTCTGTCTCTGTCTGCTGGTGTTCGGTGTTCCCATTTGATTTGCCACATTTGTCTCCTTTGGTATCACCCCTCTTTTACGGAGTTCAATCTGTGGAATTTTCATAGTATTCACTCAGGATAAAACAGGATGACTTGTACTGAAAACAAACTTGAATTATAGTCTGAAGAATAGTCTATATAATGTTGTCAGCCTGCACCTTCGATGAATCCTGTCCCTGAGCGAATATGGTGGGGACGGCATCTTCCCTCAGAAACTGTTTGCCGTTGTAGTCCCTGAAGCAGTCGGTCCTGAAATGCTCCGAACAGAGGCAGGTGTTGGCAGTTGGGATGAAATTTTTCATTCCTAGGCTGTGCACCCATTTGCTAGCAAGTTGAGGCTTGCTCAGTGGGAAACTAGCGCACAGGAGGGTGGATGAAAGATGATAACAAATAAGTCTTTTTTTTATTTAATTTTATTTTTTACAGTAGTAAGATGCTGTATATTTTTATCAAGACATTACCATCAAAAACAAGTTAAAGAGCTGAATGTACAAGTGCAGTTTTGTTGCTGATTTATTGTGTCACCTCCTTCTTGCCTCTAAGATCTTTGTTAGTAAATTCTGCCATCTTTGCAATAACTTATGTGCAATAAGTATTTTCCCCCATTGTCACTTGATACACTTTATCTGACTGGAACTAAACTATGGGAAAGCCTGCTACTCACTAGTGATGGCCGACTGACACCGATGCTCCGATACAAGCTCCAAACTCCAAACTTGAACTGCTACATCAATAAAAATCTTTACATCTCCATCCAACGTGCATAATCACACCCTGCCGTAGTTACACAAGCGCACCCTACCATCTTAGCACATCCTGTTTCCACAAGCGCACCTTCCCCCAACTACTACACTACACACGTTTATAGAATCAACAGACCGACTAATCAATCAGTCTTTACATCATTCACACAAACCCTAGTTACACTCATCACATTATTAAAACATTGTTTTGCTGTCTCCTATTTCACCACTAGATGTCACTGAAACAAAGCTTTGAATGAATGAACCTATTTTTGAGACAATTAATGAAGTGGTTCAATACTGGTTCATTGCTTCATTTGCACATCACTAGTACAAACAGTGTAAATTTCTAGGTTTAACAGATTTTTACACAAGGATATTTGCATCTTTCAGGTCTTTAAAGCACAATAGATGGTGAGTGTAAATTGGGCTTAATACCAGTTCAGAACATTTAGCTTCACAAATATGTAGGCAAATTCCACCATCATCAAAGTTTATTTTTACATTGCTGGTATAGAAATTAATATCTTCAGTGGGTTGCAATGGTGTCTGCATGTAGTATTTTAATCTAATGTAGAGTAAACATAAGCATTTACTTCATGGGAGTGGTTAATTCTGCTGTTGTGGAGCCAGTTCGTTTTATATTGAAAGAGAAGACTAATAAGAGAATATATATTTCTCAATATGAAATTTATTATGCATTAACGTATCAAAATTAACATGTGCACATGGAGCCTATCTGTTTAGGATAAACAAGAAAGACTAAACAGGAAAAGACTAAACAGGAAGACTAATCAGACAGACTAAACAGAAAGACTAATCAGACAGACTAAACAGAAAGACTGACTTCAACTTAGTGGGTAACAATATTTGTATGAAAAGGTACTACTATCTAATTGGTCCAAAACAGTTGGGGAGGAGCCGTGGTTTAGACTTAACTCTCCCGTTATTGATCCTTCAGTCTGGGTAACTGTCAAACTTTTCCTGTGTAACGAAATTCCTTCTGGGGCACCCAATGGTGCATTTTTATTAAACCAGAGTTTAAATGTCTGCACCCAAGGGTCTTGAACATCAACAACACTAGTCACTTAAACAAAAAAGTGCCTCTAGACCAAGCTCGGGCTACACTTGAGCAGTGGAAGGAATTGGCATTTGGCCTGTTGTTATCTGTGCATACCAGCTACCTCAGCGCCTGCTGAGCAACTTTTGTCTGCTTTTTCTGCTCTAGCTGATTTTTGGTTGGTTGGTTTGTTTGTGTTTCTGTGGGCTTCCTGGAAAACTGTCATCTCTACTTCAAACAGGTGTAACAAAGTCAAAAATGCCAAAGGAATTATCCTAATAAGAAAAGAAAAGCCAATAAATGAAAAGTAAACATACAATTTCAAAATGTTGTCATGATAAAATGCTGAATGAAAAACTGACACAGAAAGGTTGAGTCTCCCTCAGACATAACAGCAGACTGTACAGATCCTCAGAGAAATAAATCAATAAATGCCAGTATTTAATTAACATAAAACTGCCTAGAATAAAATATGTCAACCTGTCAATGAGTCGTCCCCCTAATGAGTGTTCTGAGATTAACATCATACATTTTTGCTCAAAATGTCCTAGAAAAGAAACAGACTCAAAGTTGACATGAAAGAATAATAATGAAATGACACACCGTCCTGTACGTCTACTGTAGGAATTATTTTGTTTCCACTGATCAGTCTGACAACTGGTCAAACTAATTGGACACAGCTGTCAAACGTTTGCCTCACATGCAGGGATCACTCATTATTATAACGTTTATTAGCTATAGACAGACCCAGTATTATTAGCCATGTACCTGGCAGCAGCAATAAACAACAATGATCATGTCGCGCTCACAATGTAAACATAAACTGTAATGATAACACGCCACCGTATTTATAATGTTGGTTCAACTACCTCTTCCCTAATGACCCTCCATACAAGACGATGAACGCCATTTGCCAGCTGTTAGGTCAGCCAGAGGATCACCTCTTAAATGCTGGAACAAAGACTTCAGATTATTTCTTAAAAAAAGGGTACTACAACAATCCAAGATGGAGACTAAAGACCAAAGATGAAATTAGGTTTGCAGGTAATAATGAGGATGTCTATTACTCAGTCGCAGAGTGCACCTGTCACCTCAATTTGGACGGCATTGTAAAGGGCCAGCCAGCGACAACAGACGTTCTTGAATATGAAGACAGGATGGAATTTTTACATTCCCTAAAAGGATTGCTGCATGTTGATGGTGAGCAGAGACTCACTCCCAGCCAAGCCCTGCAGCATAATTTCATTACAATGGCTCACCTGAAAGGTCACAGCAACACATCTTATGCAAAGAATGCCCATAAGTTAAGTTAAGTTAATGGTTGTCTGCACCAGCCTAAATGAATCAGGTGAAGCAGCTGCTTGTCTGAGCAAGTCCAAACAAGATGGTGTGTTCACTGAGAAAAGCTGGACTTCTGAAGAAATCATGGAAGACTACATGGATGCATACATTTCTTATATGCATGAACTTTCAGCCTGGAATGCCCTGCAGTGTGACAGTGAGGACAACTGGGTTGCTGAAGCAGTCTTTCAAGACGACACCCCTCTTCATCATGGTGAGGTTGAAATGGAGGGTGATTCACTCTTTGCTGCGTTCGATGTAGGAAACCCAACTGCTCAAGAAATCGACTACCTGCAGCTATATACTTGTTATATGGATGAAGCTGCAGCCTGGACTAACTTGAACAGTTATTCAATCCCTGTTGTGTTCAGCGAGGACAGCTGGGCGGCTCAAGAAATCTTGCAAGACTTCAAGCCTCATTGTAAGCATGAAGCTTTAGCTTGTACTGAAAGGGAGAGTGACTTAATCTCTTATATGTTCGCTCAGGACAACTGGGCAGCTCAAAAACACTTACAAGACTGCAAGCCTTTCTTTGTATAAAGGTTTGTTCGTTGAGAAAAACTGCGTGGGTTTTCCCCGGGTGCTCCGGTTTCCTCCCACAGTCCAAAAACATGCATCTTAGGTTGATTGGCGACTCTAAATTGCCCCTAAATTAATCAATTAAGCAAATCTAATAAAGCTTTAATGATCAGACAGTCAAATTCTTTATTTTATTGCTGTTTTTCCAATATAAATCATTTTACAAGGACAGGACAGAATGCAAGAATTACAGGTTATACATGATCTAATATTGTATTAAAGTACAGTGTGCAAATGAATAACAGGTCAAGGTCAAAGGTCAAAGTATTTATTTGTCATATGCAGTTAGGAAACGTGTTTTTTTATAGAATGAAATTCTTACTTTGCCGTCCACATGAATGCCACACAAAACAACTGAAAATAAAGTGAAATAGTGAAAAAGTAGATGAGCAATAACACATCTAAATAGGCAGTAAGAAGCAAATAAAAATACAACAAGAACATTATATAATGTAGAGGGAATATATGTATGCTATGTGGGAGCCGTGAAGTGCAAATAATCAGCAGTGAGTGTGCAATTATGCATGTGCAAAATGAGTATGCAAACAGTACAGATGGAATTACATGAGGTAGATCCTGAGTCAGCTGTTTAGGAGTCTCATGGCAGTCGGAAAGAAAGAGTTTTTCAGTCTAGAGGTCCTGCATTTCACACTTCTGAGCCTCCGACCGGTAGGGATATGAACGGTCCCTGCTGGTGGTGGGTGGGGTTCTTGAGGATGGAGGCAGTTTTCCTACGCACCCTGTGGTGGTAAATGCTCTGCAGAGAGGGCAGTGGAGTCCTAATGATTTTCTCTGCAGTCTTTACCACTCTCTGCAGGTGCTTGTGGTCCATAGCAGTTGTGCTACCAGTGATGCAGCTGGTCAAGATGCTCTCGACGGTGCAGTTGTAGAAGTTGCAAAGGACCCTAGGCATACCAAACCTCCTCAGCCTCCTCAGGAAGCTGCTGTTGGGCCTTCTTGACCAGCTGTGTGGTGTTAAGTGTCCAGGTGAGGTCCTCACTAATGTGGACGCCCAGATATTTGAAGCTGTTCACCCTCTCCACGTCGAGCCCCCGGATGAACAGTGGCCGATGAGTTCTCCTCTCCTTCCTCGTGTCCACTATCATCTCCTTCGTCTTGTCCGTGACAGAGCAGTATTCTGTGAGTATGTGAGAATTAACAGATCACTTCAGTATTACAGGTAACAAAAGTGTATTGCATTGGTCCTGGGAGGAGAGATGAGAAGGGGTGAGGTGTGTGTAGTGGTATAGAAGAAGACAGTGGGGGGTCATCGGGGGACAGAGTTCAGTAAGGAGACAGCTGTGGGGAAGAAGCTGTCTGAGTCTACTCTTTTTGGTCTGGAGGCTCCTGAAGCACCTCCCAGAAGGTAAGAGGTCAAATATTGTATGTATGTGAACCTGCCACATGGCCCTCGAAATGAGCTACAACCGAACTATGTGCATGCACATGTGCACATCATAGCTGCACTCTGGTACTTTAATAAATTACACTACACCTGGGTTTTAGAGTCACTCTTTCTCTCACTTTATATGTCAGCAGCTAGATAGCTAAAACACAGATAACCAACTAACTGTATCACAACAAATCAACAACTACCTACCTAGCTGTATCACAATAGATCAGCAGCTGGGTTAGTTATAAATCAATAGGTCATTATCATTATTATTACTATTATTATCAAAAATAGCATAAACAGATATCACAGGGCAGTTTAAAAAACTGGCAAGCCAGAAAGACATTCCCTCAGTTTGTCAAAAGACTAACCAGCATCCACCAACAGTTGGTTAGAAGGCCTTGGTCACTGTCTGCATTATCTTAGTGGCACTCCACGTGCAGCTAAATTCCACAGCAGACTTGATGTGTCCATTTTCAAATAGCCAGGTTTTAGTCGCACGCCTTGGAACAAGTGTAGATGTATGGTCTAGCAGGAGAACCACCTCTTTTATGAAAGACTAAACTGCAGAAACCTTAGAAAAAAATGAACGGAGTTAGTGTAAACACACAGCACTTTCCATACTGTATGCGCACTTATACTGTTTATATACAGGCAAATGTGTAAACATTGCAAAGATTCTTTACTTATTTCAAAGTAAGTCAGCCTTTTTATCTGGCTTGTACACTTAGGCTCCTGTATAGCTTTACAGTCATTCAACTGGAATTACATAGTAAATATTATTTTACAGTGTCGAAGTTATCAATTCCTATAATACAGGCTAAATGCAGAGGTGGTCAAGTAACTATGTACAATTACTCAAGTACTATACTTAAGTGCACAAAATTTAACTGCACTAGATTTTAGAGCCAAATATTTGTCTGATAACACTTGTTAATTTTCATCATCAGAATAATAAAACAAAACAGAACAATCCAAGCTTCATCTTTACCAGCTGAAACATTAAATGTGATGTACACAATAATGCATCATAATACAATAATATTATATGCATTGATGTGAACTGTGCCATTCTGCATAGAGTAGTTTTGTAATTTAAGTATATTTGTGATGCCAGCACTTTAACTTATGTAACGTTTTGAATGCAGAACTTTTAATTTTAATAAACACTGTGGTGTTGCTACTTTCAGTAATAAACAAACTGAGTGCTGTTTCCACCACTGATCCACCACCACTCCCATTAGTTACATGCAGAACCTTAGCTTTGCAATATTTTTATGCTGTCATACTGCTTAGGTTAACGGTTCTTTTTCTTTATCACCTATTTGCTTGTAATAGTCGAAAATTTTGTTAATATCTGGGATTATGGTAGTTTATTGTGTGATATTCCCTTTCAGAATGGAGACTTGGTTTACTGAACAGACAGAAACATAGAAAAGTAAGAGAAATAGCAATAACAGTTTATTATGACAGTTTATTTTATATCACTGGGATATGTTCAGAGAAGTAAGAATAATGAAACAAAATCCAATGGTAAAATAATTACCATTTAGGGTTGAAAATTAAAGAACATTTACTTTTAAAGTAAAAAAAATCCATTGCTCTTGTACTCTTTTCACATCTGTTTGGTTTTACAGTAAAGTCAAAGTGGATATGACTGAACAACGCCCTCTACAGACGTTATGCCACCTTTAAGGTGGACCGGAAAATTTCAATTTTGAAGCAGTGAATGCAAAATTCAGCGTCGTCGTGAAACATAGCCACTTGATTTGGGAAACTTTCCAGCAAGAGCACTGGACATCAGACTCTCCGCTCTCCTTGTTCTTTATTGTCTGCTTACTCTGAGATAAGCTTCCTGCTACGCCAGCCGCAGTCTGAGCTACCCGGGGCGGCAGAATCACATGATACAACTACGCTGACTAGCAAGATAACACGCTAGCTTTGGTTGTCAAAGCCGCTGTCAGCAGCCACGGACGGGCGGAGTAGCCCACTTCAGCTAATAAGTAGTTGAAAACTCGCGACATATCTGGTAACGTAACTCAGCCACTTTTTTTCTTTTGTTATCTCTAAACACTTGCATGTAACCTAGTATCTGTAACATGACGTTAGCTAAGCTAGCTAAGTTGAACTTGTTAAATGGGAGTTTCTTTCGAGTGAGTAGATATTAGGCTAACGTTATCGATATTGGCCTTGTTTGGATTCACCATGAAGCTACTCTCACCGAAACATACCTTTGCCGATTTGTTATGAGCAGTGTTTCAAGGCTAGTGAATTAACGATCGATGCATTCAGATACAATTTTAACTATCTCATACAAGCCGAGTTTGTAGTTAGCTAGCTGTTTGGCTACCAGTTAGCTAGTTTTGCGTGAATACTGGTTAGCTAAGAAACTTGACCAATGTTAGGATGTCTTTGGGTAAAACAACCACAGAATTTCCATAGACTTTATAACTATCATAAGCAGATATCAGTGGTGTCAACATGAAACTTGTCAAATATGTTTTAAGTTGGGACTGCACACTGCTAACACTGTTGATAAATAAAGCTGAGAGCACTAACTGTCATTGGACAACTAATTACTGTCTAACTCCTGAGGCTAACTGTAAATGAAATTATATAGCTGGCAATACAAAAATCAGCCAGGGTGTGACAGTTTGGGTTAATAACCTTTCCTTTGTTAAGTATACTTATTTGTAGTACGAGCCCATGTGTACGACATGGCCCAGTTATTTTACATGGCATCTGTTGCACCTGCTGTCATTGCTGGGTGATTTACTAGTAATTTTTATTAGTATAAAGACCGCACATAACTCCCAGCAAAGCTTCACAAAAGTTACCCTGAGCAGAGGTCTCTAGTCAGAAGAAGTGGAAACATCTGGGACATTCAAAGGCCATTAAAGAGCCCATGGCATGCTCATTTCTAGCCATTTAATGTTTAATCTTGGGTACCTCTAGATTAGCTTTGCACTATCGTAACTTCAAACAGTCTTAAGTATTTCAGAACAATACAACCTGATATCATATGGAGCGCTTCCACATGAATATGAGAGGATAGTTTGAGCATGCACAACTCCTGTTGCCAGTTAGGAAGCCATGACAATGCATGAAAACAAGCAAACAAACAAAAAATGGCATAAGCTACGTTTTCCTTAGTGACAATACCTCAAATCCTACCTGCCAGAATATGAAAGTGGGCAACATGGCAAACTGCAACAGCATTAATTAATTTGATTTTCTCCTCCATAGACAGGTAAACAACAGTATATGTACAGATGAAAAGAGATCTGTAACACTGTAAACAAAGCGGGTAATTGAGAAACCCCATATTAACTGGCAAAATGCAGATAGTAGTAACTTCTCCAGCCTTACAACAATTCTCTCTACAGAAACAACGCATTAATAGACATGCAGCAAGTGTGTGTGTTTTTTTTTTTATTTTTTAACTTATTGTTGCATTCCACCAAATAATAAAGTAGTTGGTGAATTCAACCAGCGATCACCGCATCTTCCCCTACAAATCCCTCACATTACAGGCAACCACATACATTTCAAGCAGGTAGCATTACACTGACAATAACATCATTAACCCGCTACATATCATGTGCGGCAGAAACACTGGCCTCAAGCAGTCAAAACAAACAGGTACTGTGCTCCGGGGGAATCCAGTGTTGAACTGATCATTCATTGCCATGGGGGCCTTCACAGGCTGGCTGATTATAGGTTAGACCCTGTCAGGTAAAACAGCAAGTCTCTGTACATGAATGTTCCTGGATATGCAGTATGTCAGGCCCTGTATTTTTGTCCACATCCTCTGATCACAATGCAGGCAGCAGGATGTAAAATATATCCACAAAAAACCGCGTGCAGTCAAAAACCCCTGCTTTTAATATCGTACTGGAGGATGTCAGGCAAGCTCGCATGAATGTGCAACTGCCTGGAGTATATGACCATTCAAGGAAATCCATGAACTATTGCTTAAGACTTTATATAGGGAAAAAAGTCTCATCAACGAGAGTTCAAGAGACTTATAGAAACTGCGTTGATTCTGCATAGAAGCACAGCAGCATAGGTACACCTCAATTTTTGAGCTTTTAGTCACATTTAAGATGACAATTCACTGTTGTAACATTCTAGATGAGTCAGAAAACACAGAAAAGTATGCCATTGGCACTTTAAGCACAGAATGTACTACTTCTTCCATCGGTGTGTTTAAGCATAAAGCATAAGCATAAACTTTATTACCAAGTATTATCAGAAATAACTGGAATTTGTTTGTGGGAACCTTGATTCATTTTGCATCCAGAGACTCCTGAAAGCACTGACTCTTTGCTTTCACACCAACTTGTTGCTGAGTGTTTTAGTCCATTTCTGCTTCACTGGAGAGAGTTACATCCGTTGGTACAATGAGACTTTGACAAAGGGACATTTCCCACTCATTCATGCTGACATTATTTGTACACTGATGTTTAGTTTACTGACACGGAGACATTTCTGATCACAGCGTTCTCACAGTCACCACCCACATGGTTGCTGACAGTGACAGTTTTGTTAGTTTTCAGCACAGTGTTGCAACTATGTATTTATCTGTCAGTCTTAACAGCTATGTTCCTGATTGATTGGTAATTTGAAAAATGACCATTATAATTACCTGCTACAATTTACCAGTGCCCAAGTGTACATATGGAAATTTCTTATTTGGTTCAACCACTAGTCCAAAGCCCTAAGGTAGCCTTTTCAGCACAATCACAGAAGGTTAAGAAAGCCAGCAAATATTCTCATTTGGAGCCTGGAACCTATAAATGTTTAGCATTTTGCTTTGAGAAATAACTAAAAGAGAAATCGATTACCTATTAATTGAGGAACTAGTGCTTAAGCTCAAGTCAGTATTTATATTTACACCTGCTTGTCTAATTTGAGGTGTCAGCAAGAAACGATTTATCATCAGCAAACTAATATTTGACTGTTTGCCATGTGTAAGATAAGACCTGGTCTTGTCTTTTAAGTTAGATGCTAACCATCTAGTATTGACTTAGGAGTTATAATCAGCTAGAGAAATGTATAATGACTAAACCAGGTCCATTATAAGCGTTTCAGCTTTTTGTAACATACTGTGTATGTACATTATATTCTGTACAGTGCATGTCAATGATGATTATATAAGTAATAACATGGATGAAGGAGGTGTTAAATGTGTTGGCTTTATTTGATGCTTTATTGACTTTGTTGGTACTTTCACTTAATTTCCAGCTAAACACGCACCTGGACAAAGGTGATTGACTGATAAGGTGCAGGGGGACATTGGACTTGAACAGAGATCAGGGTGGGGATGACATGAGGTCATAGGCAGAGTAGAAATGCTTTACAACCAAAGAATGTAAATTAACCCAATGGAAGTTAAAACCTTTGATAACCAAATATTTTGTCTGTAAAACAAATTTTAGTGCTTGTTTTTATTACTTTAGACTGAACAGAAATCACAAGTTTAGACTTATAATATGCAGTTCTGATGTTTGATCTATTGATTTTTGGTTTCTCCGCATGTGACTATTAGACCTCTTCTGAATTTTCTTTAGTTATATATATATCTACTGCCTTCAGACTAGATATAATTGTGTTTTTGTAAATTTTATTTTTATGTTTCTGAGAAAGGCTTTAAGGTGGTGACATATAGGGATTTTGCACATAGGGATCTCAGGCAGTTGATGTCTGTACTGGTTACATTTTAAAAGAACTGGAGAAAAGATTGGATCATCCTTGGGAGTCAGTGTGGGTTGTGACAGTACAACGGGCTGCTTAAATACCCAAAGGTGGAATCACTGCAGCACCACAGCCCTTTAGGGCTTAAGAGTGATTCAAATGACCGATAGTAACCTCTTGTGTTCCCTCCTTCCTCCGCCCTCCTCCTCCCTTCCCCCTTTTCTGTTTTCCCTGTTGTCTCCCGTAGGGCATTGTAGAAAGCGACTTATCTTCTTTCCTGCTCACTCTCTTCAAGATATTGAATCATTCAGCTTCCATCCAAAAAGTCACAAGGATTTTGGCATCCTAGAGGCTCACCAGGCAAGCAAGTCCTCCATCATTGCAGAGACACTGACGGGCTGAGGTTGTGGACTCACATGGGCAAGATGGATAGGCGATAAATAAGACATCAACTTCAGAGGTAAGGTTAGTCAAGGCTATGCTTGTCACAGAGTCACTGGCTCAGATTGAGTTGAGCTAAGTCTGAGTGGAACAGGTGACAAAGCAGTGCTTGCCTCACCCTCATTAACTTCACAAGCAAGGCCCTTATCCCCAACAGCTCCAGTGGAGCTGCTCAGTGGCCACAGGTCAGTCTGGTTGTACTGGTTAGCTTCCAGGTATGAATGTGTCCATGAAAACGAGAGGTGGCCTCTCAGTGGACCTGCCCTGAATAAATAAAACAAAGATAAATGTGCTTGGTGTCATGTTTTTGGCCAGTAGTTTTTTATGTATGCTTCCATTTTTACCAATGCTACCAAGGAAAAAATGTTTTATAATTGTAGTGATTTCAGGTGTTGTTTTATTGTATTTTATTTTTTTATGTTAGTTTCTGGTGAACATAGTCTGACCAGATTTATGTAGCTCGAAGCATTCACTTATAGTGAGTCATTATTTCATTTACTTTGACTGTATTGCTCATTGAAAGCTTGACCAACAATAAACTGCACAGAGGTCCATTACAGTGTAGTGTAGGTCTTGAGTAATGTCAGTGGTAACATTTTGTTTAGGGTGGTGGTGTATTTATTGCAGGGCCTGACTATAAGTTTTAATTTTCAATATTGCTGCCAGGCTGGCTGATTACTGAGTCATTACTACCCTCAACCCTGAACAGATCTATGGTTTGTTGGAAGTCACATTATACCCAATTTTATCTGTAGTTGCCAAAAACAAGGTAAGTCAGGAAATGACTTTTTAGTTTTGAGAATGTCAAATGGTTTTGTAACAGTTACCAGGTTGTTTCACATGCTTTTCATACATAACCACACAGACACACAGACACACACACACACACACACACACATATATATGCACACATGCACACACAGAGTCAATGATCCAAGTGCAGTGCTTGGAGAATACAGGGCAAAATGAGAAAAAATGGGGCTCTGTAGAAATGCTGGAGATTCTCTTTCCC